ACGAAATGACTCATTCTATTCAGCCTTGTATCTCGGATCCAGAAACATTGAAGTGGATACAGGGTATACAGGTGCTGGCCAGTAAATTAGAATATCATCAAAAGGTTGAAAATATTTCAGTAATTCCATTCAAAACGTGAAACTTGTACATTATATTCATGCAATGCACACAGACCAATGTATTTCCAATGTTCATTACATTTAAATTTGATATTCATAAGTGACAACTAATGAAAACTCCAAATTTGGTATCTCAAAAAATTAGAATATTCTGAAAAGGCTGAATATAGAAGACACCTGCTGCCACTCTAATCAGCTGATTTACTCAAAACACCTGCAAAGGCCTTTAAAAGGTCCCTCAGTCTTGTTTTGAAGGCACCACAATCATGGGGAAGACTTCTGACTTAACAGCTGTCCAAAAGACAATCATTGACACCTTGCACAAGGAGGGCAAGACACAAAAGGTGATTGCTAAAGAAGCTGGCTGTTCGCAGAGCTCTGTGTCCAAGCACATTAACAGACAGGCGAAGGGACGGAAAAAATGTGGTAGAAAAAAGTGTACAAGCTCTAGGGATAACCGCACCCTGCAGAGAATTGTGACGACAAACCCATTCAAAAATGTGGGGGAGATCCACAAAGAGTGGACTGCAGCTGGAGTCAGCGCTTCAAGAACCACCACGAGGAGACTCATGAAAGACATGGGATTCAGGTGTCGCATTCCGTGTGTCAAGCCACTCTTGAACAAGAAACAGCGCAAGAAGCGTCTCGCCTGGGCCAAGGACAAAAAGGACTGGACTGATGCTGAGTGGTCCAAAGTTATGTTTTCTGATGAAAGCAAGTTCTGCATTTCCTTTGGAAATCAAGGACCCAGAGTCTGGAGGAAGAGCTGAGAAGCACAGAATCCACGTTGCATGAGGTCCAGTGTAAAGTTTCCACCGTCAGTGATGGTGTGGGGTGCCATGTCATCTGCCGGTGTTGGCCCACTCTGTTTCCTGAGGTCCAGGGTCAATGCAGCCGTCTACCAGGAAGTTTTAGAGCACTTCATGCTTCCTGCTGCTGACCAACTTTATGGGGATGCAGACTTCACCTTTCAACAGGACTTGGCACCTGCACACAGTGCCAAAACCACCAGCACCTGGTTCAAGGACCATGGTATCCCTGTCCTTGATTGGCCAGCAAACTCGCCTGACCTTAACCCCATAGAAAATCTATGGGGTATTGTGAAGCGGAGGATGCAATACGCTAGACCCAACAATGCAGAGGAGCTGAAGACGACTATCAGAGCAACCTGGGCTCTCATAACACCTGAGCAGTGCCACAGACTGATCGAGTCCATGCCACGCCGCATTACTGCAGTTATTGAGGCAAAAGGAGCCCCGACTAAGTATTGAGTGCTATACATGCACATTCTTTTCATGTTCATTCTTTTCAGTTGGCCAACATTAGAGAAACAAACATTTTTTCATTGGCCTTTAGAATATTCTAATTTTCTGAGATACCAGATTTGATGTTTTCATTAGTTGTCACCTATAAATATCAAATTTAAATGTAATGAACATTGGAAATACATTGGTCTGTGTGCATTGCATGAATATAATGTACAAGTTTCACGTTTTGAATGGAATTACTGAAATATTTTCAACCTTTTGATGATATTCTAATTTACTGGCCAGCACCTGTATGATCTTCTTTCTCCTTGGTCATTTGCAAGCTTCACTTGTCTTTCCTTGAGTGATTTCATTTCCCTTTGAGTGGTTTTGAGATGAGAGCAACACAAGATGTGGCCGACTTAAAAAAAAGGTTTTTCATAATTTCCTGTCACTCTTAAGGGTAATAAGTGTAAGGATGTCAAACGAATGAGGTTCTTCTTAGATATTGCGAATGGTAAAAAGCTCATACTTTGCTTTACACAAAACATGGCCAGGACAAGCAGCCGATTCAGATTGTGGAAACAAAAGATGCTTTCCTTTCGATCTGTGATGGTAGTTTTCTGGTAATGGGGTTTGCCTAAAAGATGGAAAGACTGAGGAAAGTAGGAAAGGGGATGCAGAGACAGACAGGCCATTATTTTACAGAGGATGAGGACAGAAGCTCAAGAACAACAATCTGCCGATTTCTGCTGAAGTGCTCTCCTGTTTGATTGCCCCTCCTGCCCTCCTACACTTTTCTTCCTGCCTACAAGCAGTGATTTGTGTGCATTCCTGTAGCTTTTTGGTTTTAACACCAGGGGGTCTGAGCCACAGAGGGCAACGTGCATGCATCAGTGTATCTACAACCAGAGCATATGCATTCACTCATACCTAATGCTTGTGCATGCTCACATAGTAGCGTGACCATGTGTCTATAAACTTTTCAGTTTTTATTCATGTGGCCAAGAGAGAGACCATATTCCATCTTCAAAACACACGGTGGCACCATCAAATGAATCACCCCTTTCATCTGCTTCTACTGCCCTCAGTTACTCCAGCTTCCACGCCTTGCCTAATGGATTTTCAAATGCAGGTGCATGATTTCTTTCAAGACTTGACAGGCATTTTCCTTTGTGTTTAGGGATGAGGTTCAGGCCCGGAGTGGTTCGTTGCTGATGGTGTTGTTGAAAGATTCTGCATACAGAACAGGAGCATTTTTCCCTGAACCTATTTGAAAAAAGCCAAATGCAAAAAGTGTGTATGTATATTTTCACGAGGCCAAACAAAGCAACTAAAACACTGTTGTTTGCAGTTTTACCTTTTGTACATTAGAGATACTCTTCTATTAAAATTGAAATAGATCTAAAATACAAACGGATTACATTTGAGTTTAAAAATACATTTCTGAAAGAAAAAAAACATATTTTTCTTCAAATTGTTTTATTTGTTTTACAAAATGTACCTGCATAAAGTCATAATGTGACAATCCTGCTTGAGTAATTGGTTTTCAATGGCAGGAATCCAGAGCTAAGGAAAGCCTATGCAAGGTATTTTAAACCTATACATGTTGGGTTAGGCGTGGGGAACCCTGGTCCTCCAGGGCCGCTAACCTGCACATCTTTGCTCCAACACTTCTGATTCAGTGGTTGATTCACCTGATCAGCAGCTCATCAAGTTCTGCAGAAGCCTGTTAATCACCTGCTGATTGAAATCAGGTGTGTTGAAGCTGGGTTGAAACTAAGATATGCTGGATAGCGGCCCTCAATGGACACGGGTTACCCACCTGTGGGTTAGAATGCTGGCATCATCGTAGTGCCTGGAAGTCAAAGTAAGGGGGCAATGTCTTTGGAGGTGAAGCAAATCGCTAAAACCAGAGTGAACTTTGGCATGACCTACTAGTGTGAGGGAGCTAAAGGAGGCTACAAAACCACAGACTGATGGTGACCTGGCTTTGTTGCTACTGGACTTGGAAGTAATCATTATTTTTATCCAAAAGTGTGAATCTTTTTACTTTGTGGTTTATTTTAGTATTAGTTAGCTCGTGTTAGTGTTAGCTCGTTGTTAGCGCTAGCTACAGCGGGCTGCGGCAGTACGTTCGACAGTTGTAATTCCACTTTTAACCAGTAGGGCAGAGGAGCAGGAAACTGCTCTGTGTTACCTTAAGTAGACATCATTGCCCCAGAGTTCTTCACACTAAAGATTTATGAATATTTTGAAACATTCAATAGTGTTTTAAATCACCAAAGTTTGTTCATTGATCTGATAGTTCCTTATCACAAATGGGTTTGTTTGAGGTTTTCTCATTCTTGAATATTCCCTTTGACAGCACAGTGGCGGACCGGATATGGTCTTTTACCCGCCTAACATCCATAACAAAATGGCTGACATAATACACACCACAATATGGGAACACATCATTGACTGCCAATAGATGCTATGTAACAATTATGGTCAGCATCATAAGCTAAGCTGTGACAAACCGACTTCAGGTGCCAATCTCATGTCTAGAGTCTGAATGTAATTGACTGATTTCCAGCTGCCCTCACTGAGCCAAAACAGCTATGTCTTCTAATTAACTAGAGAGCACTGACAGCCCGGTACCACCTACATTTGGTCCCCAGTTGATGCAAGTGCCATGTCCTGAGGGTTCCTGTCAGACCTAGTGCTCTGCGAATGGTATGACATGGCCCTTTATGTCTCTCTTCATCTTTCTCCCTTACTCCATCTCCCTTTCTCTGTCTCTTCCTGACAACTATTTTCTTCTAATCATGTTCAGGAAGAAAACTAGAGTTTGGCTGAAGGGAGAAACAGACTGCCTCGTGTGTGTGTGTGTGCGTGCGTGCGTGCGTGCGTGCGTGTGTGTGTTGAGATGGAAAGCATTAGATAATGACCAACTGAGCAAATGAGAGAGATGTGATGTATCCTATCCAGCACCAGAACAAGCAGCTAGAGACCACATCCTTGACACCTACAGCTGCATCTAAATCTGCTGCAGCATTTCTGCAAACAGTAGACCAGTTAAAGGCTTTAGTACCACTTGTTAACTCACACTATACATTTGGGGCAACTAAAAGGATTAACCTTGCTATTGGAAGAGGCAAGTAGCCGTCTGAAACTAACTAAGGATGCTAAAATAGAAATGACAAGAAAACGCGTGTTAAATATCACACAAGGAAACCAACTACAAAACATTACTCTCTCCAATGATAGTTGTGCAAATTAATTAGATTTTGTTATATGTAGAGATATGTAGAGATTCGGAAAAGGGTAGAACGCCTCCTCCGGGTCAGGGATGAGGTCCTGCCCCAAGTGGAGGAGTTTAAGTATCTCGGGGTCGTGTTCATGAGTGAGGAAAACTGGAGCGTGAGATCGATAGGTGGATTGGTGCTGCATCTGCAGTGATGCAGGCGTTGTACCGGTCTGTTGTGGTGAAGAGAGAGCTGAGTCAGAAGGCAAAGCTCTCGATTTCAATTCAAAATCAAATATACTTCATTAATCCCAGAGGTCGATCTACTTTCCTACCCTCACCTATGGTCATGAGCTTTGGGTAGTGACCGAAAGAACGACATTGCGGATACAACTGGCCGAAATTAGTTTTCTCCGAAGTGTGGCTGGGCTTTCCTTTAGAGATAGGGTGAGAAGCTCGGTCATCCGGGAGAGGTTTGAAGTAGCTCCTCCACATCGAGAGGAGCCAGTTGAGGTGGCTCGGGAATCTGGTCAGGATGCCTAAAGGTAGACCCAGGACACGGTGGAGGGACTATGTCTCTCACCTGGCCAGGGAACGTCTTGGAATTTCCCCGGAGGAGCTGGCCCAAGTGGCTGGGGAGAGGGAAGTCTGGGCCTCTCACCTTAGGCTGCTGCCCCCGCAACCCGACTCCGGATAAGCGGATGAAAATGGATGGATGGATATATGTAGAGATAAGGCTGCTCGATTATGACAAAAATTATAATTGTGATAATTGTGACTGAAATTGAGATCTCGATTATTTAAGATGATTAATGTTGATTGTTTGTTTTTATTCTGTCATAAAATTGCACAGGGCACAATCAGGACAATAACTCCTGACTCCTAGTATAAAAACACCAATATACTTGCTCATAGTTTATGACCCAAGGGCTTGGTTTAACTCATTTACACCTAACCAGTACAGACCTAAATACCAATAACTTGTGGCCTTTATAACATAAATTAAAAAAAACATATAAACATATGTTTAGTGATGTTCACACAATGTTGCATAATATTTATTTAGTCCCGTCAAGGTGCTAGGAGAGTGCACTAGCAACATGTCCTCCATCTCAGAGAGATTAATTATTATTCATCAGTGCGAGGAACTTATTTCTATCTATTTCTACCTTATTTATAAACTATTTATTTACAGGTCCCATCAGTTAATGTTAATAATTGTCCCAACCACAGCAATCGGAGGTGCGCTGCACCTCCCACTCCTCAACCCAGACTCACAACCATCAGGGGCAAGCTGCGCGTGTGTTTCAGGCGCCGTACGCGCACATTTTGCCGTTTTTAGCGGCTCAGGAGCCTTCAGGTGCAGTGTGTGTGTGTCGCTCACTCCGGTTAATTCAAGAGGGAGCCAGCTCTGAGAGCCGTTTCTTTAGTGACCGACACATCACACATCATTCCCTTTCCTAATGTCCTGAAGGACCGTCTGGAGTGCAGGCGGAGTGTTTTGCTAACTTGCAGGAAATGCCAATGACAGTTTTCCAGAAAGTAGCTAAGGGTTACCAGAAATGGTTCTGGGGTGTTTGCTGGGTACTTTTAAGATTTAAAAAGTCAAGAAGGGCGTCTGAAAAGCTGTTGGAAATAACGACAAAGTCGCTAAGTTGGCAATACTGTGGGAGGAGTGCTTGATTTACAACTTGGGGCAGCGCAAGAGGGAGGAGCAAATAATCGTCTTGTTTTGCTTTCATAATCGTTCAAAACTCAGATCGTAATTGGGATAAAAATTCGATTAACTGAGCAGCCCTAAGTAGAGATAAAACGTCAGCATTGAACAGTGAACAGAGGCAGTGGAAGAGTTGGGTAACTGTTAGCCAATCAGGGGCGAGATGTTTGAATATCATGAATATTATTAATAAAGACTCCAAATCCTGCCATTTTCTACCCCCGCTTCTCACTTTCATTTCCTGAAACAGGAGCGCCGGAGCTTTTTTCCCCACTGAAAACAACTCACAAGACATTCAATCATACTAGAAGCCATGGCAGATTTATTAAAACAACAAGTGAATGAGAGCTATAAGCTACTGACTTTTGCCAACAGTGTCCTGTCACATCAACCTTTCTTTAGGAACATTTAGATAAAAACCCAAGTATAACAAAGCCAGTGCAGCACTTTTAAGTTTAGATGTGTTTGAACTTGAACTTCTAGCAATTTTCTACCCTCCCATAAACCACGGACAACCCATAATTTACTCCCTTTTTGGACACACAGCAAACCAACACTTCAACTTAAATTTTGCAGAAAGACTTTTGTCCTTTTCTGACAGAACGTTCCTGGAGTCCCTTCAATTACCCCTCACTAAACCTGGATTTACGGAAAGACATTTGTCACAAAAACTGCTATAAACATCTGACAAGAGCAGAAGTATTTAGTGCGCTTTGCTAAATCTCCATGCCACACCATGGGATCTGTCTGGTAGTTTGAAGAGCATCACAATCAGTCTAATTGGACAGGTGTTTGCAGACATTACTACACAAAACCGTAGTGTCACTAAAAGAGCCCCCAAAACAGCGTGGCACCCCAAAAACCTGCTGGAGGATTAGCGCAGCAGTCAAGATGGAAAGGAAGGTTTTAACATGCCAGAGTTAAGAAAAATTAAGATAAGAGGGGAGAGAAACACAGAAAATAGAGGAAGGAAGATTAAAGAAGAGTAGCACTCACAGTATGAGGTAAGCCACAGTCGTTGCTTGTCAGCCACCCCCGGTGAGAGTACCCCTGACAGAGCAAGAGAGACAGACATTAACACCACTCAACCTCAAATGACTCATTTATGCAAAGAATGAAGAACATGCAGTAAACAGCAATAAACTTAACACCCCTTCATAATGTCACATAATCCATCCAAATCAGGATGCAAAGCAACATTGCTTCAGAATATTTGCCATCCTTTCATCTCTGCTAGACCCTATTACAGGCCACGGGGAGTCGGTGCCCTCCTCCAGAGGTCAAGAGGAGAGGCCTAGACAGGTCACTCGTCTATCACTGAGAAATAAGCAGACATGCATTGGTACACTGTTGCCTTTCCCCAAATAAAACCCACACATGCACAAGGAGATTGTGCTAACCCCACACGGCTGGCGACTGATTAAACTCAAGTAAATGTTACAACTCTTTCTTGTTAATCAGCTGACTGATTAATCAACAATCATGTGTCACAAACTGAAATCAAGAAGCACTGATGATTCTTATGGAACTCTAAAATATTCAAAATTCAATAAATAAATAAGACATTATGAAATAAGTATCTGCATGAAGAAATACTAGAGAAGCATGTCATCTGACAATGAAATGATGAAATAACAGAATGTTATGTAAAATCTAACCTCAATATTATGAAATATTTTTCATTCTTCTTTTAAAATGTCTTTATTAATATAAAGTTTTTTCAAAAGTCTTTTTTTCATAATAATCCAAATTGATATTGAGCCATTTTTATTTAATTCATTCCGTTTTTATTACATAACGTCTTTTTAACAAAGACAGCTTTTAGTTCATAATAGTGTTTTTTCCCATGGCTGATTTATTTCATAATGACACAGCAGAATGTCTCCATCCGTCAGTCAAGCCAGTGGGTGCGGCCTGCAACACCATTGGTTAATCCTTCCACATCGTTTGGTTTTCCTGGGTTTCTCTGTAACAGAACAAGGCTATCCCAGCATGCTTTGCACGCCGGCTGTGGACTTTCAACAGGAAGAGAAAATGGGGAGAACTACGAAGTTTTAAATGTGTTTGTTTAAAAACTAGCGGTAGAAAACTAAAAAGCTTAAAGCGGTTCTGTTTATAGACATTACGTTTTAGGGAGAAATCAGCTAGAACGAGTTTGTATCGTGGGTCCCGTAATTATTCCCGTGTGTGTGTGTGTGTGTGTGTGTGTGTGTGTGTGTGTGTGTGTGTGTGTGTGTGTGTGTGTGTGTGTGTGTGTGTGTGTGTGTGTGTGTGTGTGGGTATGTGTGTGTGTGAGTGGCGAATTAAACTTGTCATTTGTTTTAAGGACAATGGAGCAAAGAAGCGTTTTTATTAAGCTTAGAGGTGAAGAGTGAAGCTGTTTACACACAACCACAGAAGTTCTGCTGTGAAACGTAGTTTTACATTCAGGGATTTACACAGCTGACACATTTTAATGAAGTAAAAAGTTTGTGTGAAGAATAAAATTTTTATCTTCTCATGTAGATAAATGTAAAAATGTGTTTATTACCTTTTTGTCACCTGTGTTCTGATTTTCTCTGTAGGACTGCAGGTGTCCAGGTTCAGGAGAGGCTTTACCTGGTGGTCCTCCTGGGAGAGAGGCCTTCTACTGTTATCATGTTAATGTTATTTAGCCGTTTGATATTTGAACACATTTATTAAAACAAATACTAACTGATAACTCTTTCTGGTCATTGATTTTATCACCAGTTTTATTATTACAGATGTTTTTGAACATGTTACATGAACAAAAAATGAAAAGATGGTAAGGAGACAAGATTGATTATAATACGTTACACTTATTTACAGATCAAAACCAGTATGGACCAGTTATGTACGGTTAAAGCAGGATTAACCTGACTGACTCTTCCTGGATCATTTATTTAAACTGAGCGAGCAGGAAGTCTTTAACAGTGCAGCTGGATCTGCTGCAGGAGGATCCAGACGTAGACGGAGGGCTGGAGCAGACCCGTGGCTGGACGTTTCTGGTCAGAGGAACATCATACAGGACGGTCTGCAGAGAGCTTTGGGACGCTTCCTCTCACTGTCCACTCCATCGTCCATCTACAGGGCCTGCTGGGCTGGCTCAGACGACGGCTGTTACGTCTCTGTGAATGACTTGCCTGTTAACAGCAGTGGTGGTCTGCTGGTACCTCCTCCAGGACAGAGCACCACTGACCTCCTCCACACACATCTTCCTCAGACTCATCCTCCAGAACCACAGCTTCACCAGCACAGAGGCAGATGTGCAGCACAGTGCATGCTGACCTGTAATAGATTAAAAAAGAGGTTTTTATTGAAAAATGTAAAACAAACATAACCTGCAGTACACTGGTTCTGTTCAGTTTAAAGAAATGCAGCAGGGAATAGTTAAATAAAAACTACAGAGAATTTACATTTTTAAGGCACATCTAATCATTATTAGGCTTAAGTTGAAATAAATGCACATTGGAAACACTTCAATGCTATTTTATTAAAAAGCCTGTTTTTTATGTTTTACCCTCATTTGATGCAAAATAAGAAGTTCTAAGGTCCAATTAACATTAAAAAATGCCCTACTGCATTCAACATTTATAATGCATTTGGTTTATATTAATAACCTACATGATAATAATCTGTAGCAATGTGTTGTGTACATTTAACAAGTTCATTCTGTAGCTTAAAACGTACATGAAACCATCTAAAGTTAACATGTAAATCCTGAAAGCTTCTAGAATAAACAAAGTTACTTTACCTGAAAACGGTTGTGAACAAACGCTGCTGATGGACATGAAGCTGCTGTAGCTCCTTAAAATTCCTGCTCGATTTTCGCTAGCTTTAGCATTTTCCCTTTGCGTGTAGCTGCCGCCACGGCTGTGACGGACTACGGGCCACAGAGCCGCTAGGTTCAGGTGTTACACCAAATTCTGCGACCCATCACAATTTGTGACCCCAGGGGGCAGTGTTGCATTTTGTTGCGTCTGTACATCCTGAATTGGCATAAATGAAGACCGTAAGCTACGTAAAGAGCGTTTGTTAATGTTTATTGCAAACAAACGGGACAATAAATGCAGCGATAACCAGGGCTTTGACAAGAAATGTTTGCTAACGTTAAACATTGATTTTACAACATGCGAGGTCCGCAGGTAAAATGTTCAGAACTTCCATTTATTGAAATAAATTGTTGTGATCTACATCCTCAGTTTATTAGAAACCACTGCAGATTATCTGGTTGCTATGTTTTTTTTTCCTGTCACACTCATATGTACTGGTGGAGATAAAAGGGAAATAAACTGACAAAAACATCACAAAACGCCTTTTGTTGTTATTAGCTTTAGTGAAAATTAAAGCCATCTGCATTATTACTGAGATGCAGATGGTCACATTCTGTGATAGCCACTATCATATTGTATGACCTTACTGTAACTTCAGTTATAATGAGTTTTACATCATACAAACTGCATTTGACCTCTGACATCTGCATTAATACTGAGATGCAGATGGTCACATTCTGTCATAGCCACTATCATGTTGTGTGACCATGGTCCTCGCCGTACAACTTCCTCAAAGCTTACGTAGTTTACGGTTTTAACATAGCATCTTCTTTTATGCCAATTCAGGATGTGCAGACGCAACAAAATGCAACACATCCCCCTGGGGTCACAAATTGTGATGGGTCGCAGAATTTGGTGTAACACCTGTTTTGAGGTCGAGCAAGGACCCGGCCGTGCTAGACCGGCGAAGACCCGTACTCATAAGCATCCTGCCCGTGGGTTCGGACACACGAGCACCGTGTCCATACACAGTCTGAGTGATTGCTTTTGTCTGACTGAATTAGCAGCCACTGGCTCCACCCCGTTAGTCTTGACTGACGGACGGAGACATTCTGCTGTAAAGTGTCATTATGAAATAAATCAGCCATGGGAAAAAACACTATTATGAACTAAAAGCTGTCTTTGTTAAAAAAGACGTTATGTAATAAAAACTGAATGAATTAAATAAAATGGCTCAATATTAATTTGGATTATTATGAAAAAAAGACTTTTGAAAAAACTTTATATTAATAAAGACATTTTAAAATAATGAAAAATATTTGATAATATTGAGCTTAGATTTTACATAACATTCTGTTATTTCATCATTTCATTATCAGATTACATGAATGTCTAGTATTTCTTCATGTAGATATTTTATAATGTCTTATTTATTTATTGAATTTTGAATACTTTTGTGTTCCATAGATTATTGGGACTCCTCTAGAGGCACTCTGATGAAATTTGGTACCAACTATTAAAAAAAGCTCATTAACATTCAAATGATTAAACTGTGAAATAAAGCTCAAAAGGCTGAGGAAACCAACCAGGCGAGTGGTTCAAATTCAAATGTTGGCTTCAAAAAAAATTTAAATTCCAAAGGAGAATATTTCAAAAACCACCGAAGATTCAAGCGGACGGTGGTTCACCAATGTGCTAATGGCTACTTCAGCAGATGTCTCCATGCTTGCATCAATTTTATAGTCAGACGTGTCATTTAGGATCCCATTGTTCATTCCAGGAGATAAAACATTGCAATTATTTTAAAAAATGCTTTTATTTGCAAATAATATTTTATAAATTTAGATGTTTCCAAGGAAGGTGCAGCGAAGGTTGGTAAAACCTCAACTTGACCCTAGTTGATGGGCTCAACCAGTGATCCCCAACTCCCTTCCCCGAGGGCTGGTGTCCAGCATGTTTTAGTTGTTTCCTTAATCCAACACACTTGATTCAGTTGTTCAGCAGCTCATCTAACTCTGCAGAGGCCCGCTGATTAAAATCAGGTGTGCTGAAGGAGGGAAACAGTAAAACATGCTGGATACCTTGGGAAAGGGAGTTGATCACATGTTTAGCGTGAGGATGGACGTGTGAATTAGTCGGTTTGAAAGTTTGTCTGATATGCAATTCTCAAATAAGTTTTAGAAAAACTGTGATATTGTTGGCTGGTTCCTCACTTCTTTGTTCATCAATCCATCAGACTGGCATTTAAATGATCTCATTTGGAATAAAAAAAAACTACACGATTTGTTGCTATCCAGGTAATTCCTAATAATAATGCACACTCTGATCTATAATGATAGCACTGACAATGCCGACTGCAAATTGCTTTGGATCTTCTTGAATTTTCATCCTCTGGATAGCCTTGATAATTTACCAATAACTCTTTAATTCACACAAACAAAGCCATGTCTTTAGTACACAATGTATTGTTTTCATAAAGGTCTAAACTCCTAGCCTCAGTGGGTGAAAGGTTAAAATGGAGTGTGGAAGTTCTCTCCCATGGGTTATAACCTTATCAGAGACGCACTTAAACACCAGAACACACACACGTGAAAAGCCTTTCTTTGCTTGTTATTGGATGAGGCACACAAGCCTGAAGTGAGGCACTCAATGAATAGATCCTTATTGATTTCACCCAAACCGAGTTTACTGTAGGGCCAATTCAGCCTCTCAACCACTCACTCACACTACACCTCCCCAACGAGCAACTGACCCCTGCCACACACACACACACACACACACACACACACACACACACACACACACACACACACACACACACACACACACACACACACACACACACACACACACACACACACACACACACACACACACCTTCAATCTTTAAAGCACCACATGCACACACAGACAACACAAACCCTCTCCACCACTCCAAGCCCTCTTAAATGACCTCATGTAGTAGGGTGAGGCTCTTCACATGTGTAGCAACAGCAGTGGAAACAGAGCAAAATATCGCCTCATTGATCCGTTGACAGCACCCAAAGGTCAACAAGGCCTCGTTCTCAGCAGGCTGAATCCTTCAAATCAGGTCGTGCTGGTAAACGATGAACCAGTGAGAAACCACAGAGTACTTGGACGAGATGAGCTATTTCAAGTATCCTTTCCCTCCCCATTTGACTTATACTTTTAGTTTGCTTGCTAACGCGCTTCAGTATAGAATTAGCATGTAGCTGGCTACTGCTGGAACTTATTAATAAAAAAGTAACTAAGAGACACAGCCTGTAACTTTTGGCGTTGTATTCTTTTTACTTGAGTGAATTTTGTTTATTTTTGTCCGGTAAAAAGAATCTAAATAAGCTCAAAAACCATATTGTGGTTTAGCAACAGCTCAGTACCAACATGTCATTGTGGGGTAATAATTAGCAGTTCAAATGGTTAAAGCTTAAAAAATATATATTGCAATTTTGAAATGTAGTTTCTAAAAATCTCAAGATGTTTTGCAAAGTTTCATGATAAAAATAGGTGTGGTGGGTTCAAATCGTAGAAGAGAAAGGCACGATAAGCCAAAGCCTAAAGTTGTGAATTTCCCTTTAACTAGTCTCATTGTCGTTAGAAATTCCTGATTTTAAACAGAAACTTCTTTTTTTTCAGAGCAGGACAGATTTTTTTCAGCTCTGTGTTGCCTCGTTTGATTTAAGTTGCCGCCTGACTATGTTCTCCATCCTCCCGCAGAACTCAACAATCCTTCCAAGGGCAGGAAATCCTCCAACTCCTGTCTGTTTCCACTGGCTACATTACACCGACAATGAGGAAGGTCAGTGGTTCAACTTCTGGCTTTTCCAGTCCACATGTGAAATATAAACTGTCCTTGAGCAACAAAGTGGCCCTCCATTTTCTCCGATGTATTCATTAGCGGGAATGAGTGTGAAAATAAACAGTGTTTGGCCTCTAAGACATTATAAACTCAGAACTGCAAATGTTCAAAATCATTATTAATAATAATAACAACAAATTTCATTTATAAAACCTAATAAGCCTCTTGAAATTTTTAGGAGTTGTCAACCAAAAAATGCAAAACATCAGAACAAGAATTTGCATGGGGATACTTAAAGGAGCACTACACATGATGCAGAAAAGTGTCTCCATAATTTTATATCATTTAATCAAAAACGTGGAATTCTGTGTCCTACAAGCTGCTTTTGTTCAGGTTTCTGTACTGGATAGAGATTTCACAGTTTCCCAGGATATATTCATTTCTTTGTGAGCTGGTGTGAGTACTTGCTAGAACATCTGTGCAGTTTGTGTGTGTGTGTGTGTGTGTGTGTGTGTGTGTGTGTGTGTGTGTGTGTGTGTGTGTGTGTGTGTGTGTGTGTGTGTGTGTGTGTGTGTGTGTGTGTGTGTGTGTGTGTGTGTGTGTGTGTGTGTGTGTGTGTGTGTGTGTGTGTGTGTGTGTGTGTGTGCGTCACCAGGGTAATTAGGAATAGGAGGGAAGGGGAGATCAAAGGAGGCACTTTGCACCCTACGTCTCAGTTCTGATATGAGTTTGTGTATACATGCGAGTGTGCGCCTGCATGCGAGTTTATGTACGTGTGCACTTGTGTGATGATCTCCTCTGAGCTTTGATGCTGTAAGCTCCGCCGGTTAATGTACTACGGATAAAAATACTACAGCATGTAATCTGGCATTTATCCCTCGAGAGCAGAAGCCCAAAATGTGACACATGTCAAAAGGAAGGAGGAAGGAAAGGAGAGAAGAATGAGCACAAGGGGGAGGAACGCTGGAGGTATGAGACCAGGAGGCTGTGTTTCTTCTTCAGCTCTGAGATGATTCAAAAGTTGTCAGTGATTTGGCATGTGCAAAGCCGTTGCTGCTAATTATTAGAAATTAAGTCAGCACAGAAAAACACAAAGAGCAGAAACCCATTGGATGTTATTTTTGTGTGTGCTTGTGCAGCGACGTGTGGATTAGGAGCAAAAACACAATGAAGCAAGACAGAAAACAATCTATAACATCTTCACTTATTCAAGAACATGTTAATAAATGATTAAAAGTCTGAAATCAAAGGACAAACGTCTAAATCTGAACACTTAAACAGTTAAAACTAGCCTATTTTTTCTATTTCACGATTTAACTTTTCTGCCTCCAGAAATTAATAGAAAAATACTTGTTTATCAGCTGACTTTGGTTAATTTTACTGCTTCACGAAACAATTGAGACATTCACTGCAACAGTCAAGTGAAAATGCTGCTATTAGACATGGATGTGCACTATTGTTTGACAATATTGAATGAAACTGTAGGAAATAAGTTCAATCCAAGAGATTTTTTTTATCCAAAACGTTTTAAAACTGTCCATGTGCACCAGGAGTACAAGCTTAAAATTAAATGAATAAAGAAATAAAGAATTAGCTCAATTATTCTAATTAGCAGACAAACAAGCCTGGTTGTATAAAATACACATGTACAAAAACTATACAACTAAACTAATTTTGTTAAACTAGTGACTGATTTTAGCTGCATTTACCCCTTCAGTACCTCTACAGCAACGTGCACATGATTCACGTTACCGGAAACCGAGAAGGCACGCGCCCATTAACAGATGAATGGGGCAGAAGAATTGGCGTTGTAAAGGTAATAACACAACTTTTTAACAGGCTACAAAGTATCAGAGAACAAACTGAATAAGTAAACAAGTGCACGGAAGTAAACAAGTGCACGGTTACGTAAAAATGAGTCTCTGACCTGTTTTATGTCGTTTCCGGTCAGTGTGTCCGGTTAAGGATTCGGCATCTTTACGAGCGGCACCAGAACGTCAGAAGCCCTTGAAAAAGTAAGTGTTACACTTTTTTGTTTGATTTTTATTTTTTTGGTTACCGGTAGTAACATAAAGTATAAACTGAAAAGAATTACCACCTTGATTCAGAGTGGATGGTTGGCTCATAAACAAAGCTGGAAGTTGCAAACTTAATTAGTCCAGTTCTTCTTCTTCTTCTCATGTCCGTCTAAATGGCGGGTGGCAACCAACTGAAGGTGCATTACCGCCACCTACTGTGCAATTAGTCCAGTCCTTGCACCTGTTCTGCTTTTGTTCCACCGGAAACCCTTTAGTCCTCAAAGAAAAAAGCTCAGTGGTTCCGTTGTTGGCACGTGTGCATAAAAAATGCAAGGCTCTTCAGATGGTCTCACGCCAAGATCTTTCATTAATTTTGGCGAAGGGATTAAACACTAAGTAATATATGTTATAATTTGGATCAACCAATAAATGTGGCTATGTAGCATCAACGCCTATGTTCTCTTTATGCCATTCTTAAACATTAGGGATGCACCAAAATTAAAATTTGTGGCCGAAACCAAAAATGAGGAAATCAAGGTGAAAAACCAAAACATTGAAATAATTATTAGAACCATAGCATGTATGGCTACGATGTGTACTAATCTCACTAAAATCAAGGCGTTGCAATAAATCAATTACAAAATCATGAAAATATTTATGTTGCACTGACATGTTGCATAACAATACACAATATAAATTAAAGCTCAAAATAAGATGTTTATCTTGACCAACTTGTGTACATTAATTAACATTAATCTATAAATGAATAAAAATTGTAAATTATTAATGTTCAGTCTTATAACTGAAAAGCTTGCTAAGCCTGCTATACACACACACACACACACACACACAACCATAAATCCCACCCCAGGGTTAGTTACGTATGTCTTTTTCAAATCTATCCGAGGGTGTACAAAACACAGCAATATTTCTCTGTCATTGTTTTGTTTTTCTTTAATTGAAACAAAGCCAAAGTTGACAAGTTTTAAAGCATTATTAAATCTTTTTGTTTTGTTTTGTTTTTTGTTTTTTTAAATTGATTCTTGAATTTTTCAGCTGATGCCACCATTGGTTACCATTGGAATAATGCACTACTTTTTAAAATCCATCTGACTCTGTAACTTGTTAGAGGGCATTTTCAACCTGCAGAGGACAGTTCGACGTCATCTTTATGGAAATAGTAAGAACATTTCTGCTTTTTGCTCTTTTTGAAAGATTTTTATACATCATTGCCCATCTGAAGAACTTTTTTTTTTTTGAATTTTTGACTTTTGGAAACTTTAGATTTGAGCAGTTCTGTCATCAACATCTTTGCTATTAGTGCATGAATATTTGCAGCAGAATCATATTAATAATACAGGTGATTTGGAATGCCAGTGAGGTCTTTAAATGGAAATCAGAAGAGTTAAATATTTACAAAAGGACTGTGTTCTTAGCTGCCCACCACAGGGGCGGCATTAGGACCGGCTACTTGGGCTGAAGCCCCGGATGTTTCATGGAAAGCCCCGGATCTAAATCGCGGAAGTAACATGCAGTACCAAAGTCCAACAGAGGGGGAGCAGCTGGCAGTAGTTTGTATACAGCCTGCCTGAACCTCCACCAATGAAGAAGAAGCCCTTCAGCAGCCGGCTTCTTCTGCAGTCTCTGCCTGAAACGCATGTGTGAAGATGGACATAAGGACGTTTTTTAGACCAAAAGTACAACGACAGAACCCCAGCTTTGATGAGACTGGTGTTGACTCAGGTTTGTGAGTCTTATTTGAAAATATTTGTTGTGCTGCTGGTTTGCCTAAAGTTAGCTGACTATCAGGTAAAGTTGTTGGGAGAAAGAAAGGGAATATTTACTTTCATCTCACACTAAACACTAACAGGAACAATACTCTGCCCTGAATATGCTTCATATGTAGCTTCAGATTAAAAATTATGTGGTACAAGACATATATGATGTTGACTAGTGCGTGTCACGTGCGCGCGTGTGTGTGAGCGTGTGTTAAGCCCCGGATGTTCTTCAGTCCTTAATCCGCCCCTGGCCCACCATATCTTTACCAGAATTAGTTAAACAAGGCTACATCTTTCAATTGCCGATTTCCACAGCATTTTGTGTTCTTTTGAGTCTTCCAGAGGTTATTCCTGGACAGAGGAGTGACGTGTCTTCTATAAGAAAATGTCGTCACTGGAAGAGGTGGGTTGATTTCACTCATAGAGCTGAGCTTTTGGTCAAAAGTTTCGACATTTGTTAGTAAGTGAAACACATTTGGCAGATATTTAAAGAGCAAGTCACTCTCAAATCTACTTCTTTATGCTGATGAACTATATAAACGAGTGTCTAATCGTGCCGTAGACACGTGTAGTCTATAATTTCGCACTTTAGTGCATCTTAGTGAAAATTTAAATTTTCTGCCTAAAACTGTCAGTGTTGTGCCCTCTTCGGGTAAAAACTCTACACTGCATTTGAATTTACATCTGCCATCGCTGTTAGCTAAGAGGTACACTATGATGTTAGCTGGTACATTATGATGTCACAATGCTGTTCTGAGCCTGTGTGCGTACTTGTTAGCGGCTCCACCGTCTCTAATTGTTTGTCTACTAATTAGTTGCCAGGCAACCGCATTTGTTGCATTTTTTCTAAAAGGAGGTAGGAGTGGAGTAAGAGTCTGGTATGGGGGTGACTTGCTCTTTAAACATTATCATGAAATCTGGTTGGTAGGAAACGTCTGAAGCATTTGAAAAATGTAGGCGATATTCCAACCTGTTATATAATGTTCAACTTATAAATTAGGTGTCTGTTGTGAAATTACTATGTTAACTCGTTCACTGCCATTGACGACTAAAGTCGTCATTTGCATTTTTTTTCTGTGTGGGCATCGGAACGAGCCCCTGCATCGTGAGAACAAATAACCCTAACTATGTGTTAGGAGATCGTTTTGGGCCGCTGCTGTAAAAAAAGTGAGGTGCGAACTAGAAAAGCTTCTGCCGATAACTATTCGACAACGGATTATGAAAGACCGGATAACACTCGAAACGCAAAGCAGTCGGTTGATCTCTACTGGTTGCTCATACATTATTCCCTACAGGGTCCACCTATGTGTGCCAGCCCTTTGTGGTGTGGAGTGAGGGATCATATCTGTACCTGGGGTGTATGGAGGCGAGAATACCTCAGACACTCACTTTTTTCTACTTAAACTGCTTTTTCAGCTCGTTTAGCAATGGCAAATGGATGTTGTTTCAGAGGGAAGTTGTGATTGGTCTGGAGGAAATGTGCTTGGGTGGCAAGTGTCAAAGTAACATGCATGTGAATCTCAGGATGCTGGTGTTTCCATTTCTATGCCAGACAATGAGCAGTGAAGCTCCAGTTTCTTGTCAGTGATCTTGAGGTTGTAGGTAATTGGTGCATTTTCTACAGCTGCAACTATACCATAAAATCACATTCCCTAAAAATTCTCATTCAACAGATCGGAGTAGGGGGGCATGTTTTAAAAAATGTGGCAGAAGAGATGGTGAGTTACTTGGGAAGTCTGTCTACCTCAGATGGAAAGGAGGCACATTATTGAAGGTGGAAATGAGCGAATGAGCATATGAGTAAGTGAGACAGCTGTTTGAGGCAGTAGATGTGGGTCTGGGCAAATAAGTGAGGGAAAGTACGACTCTACAAAGCTACAAATTGGGGATGGGAGAATAGGATAGCTGGAAGTGAAGACCATACGTCAGTTGGCCCTAATTGAGCATTTCTCCTACGCTCTCAACTTGCTACTGACACATCGCCCTACGGTCCTTTGGGAGAACACTGGCTCCGCGTCATGTAGAAAACGAGAGTGATGAATGATAACGGGAGCGGTGCATGGTGCTTGTCACTTCTCCTTCCCTGGGTTTTCGCCCACAGTCCTTGTGACTCACTGTTGGACTGAGTTTCACCAACTTTTGAGGTATCCAAGTCGCCAACTCAGCTTTCTCCTAAACACCGCAAATGCTTGTTGCTTGAAAGAAGGAGTGACATACTGCTGACAACTAAACTGCTACAAGTTCTCGAAGCGGATGAGAAAAATTCGGGTAGCAAACAGGCAGAATAATTTGGTGAAAGCTACTCTTTGCTCTATTGAGCCAGAGACCTAACCTAAATGTCCTGGTTGAGTTGGTTATGGCAGAGACAGAACAGAGGTTGTATCTCTGCTTGAAATGAGGAGACACTTGGTGTGCTTTCATTATTTAGGTTGGTTTATAAAAGAGGTTTCCAGTCATGGGAGAAGGCTCTATGGTTTAGAGACATTTTTTTATCAAAAAGACTAGAAACACAGTCAAAACTCTGCCATGTCTTTATTAGTTGTTATATGGATCCTTCCATATTATATTACCTGCTATTGTCATCCTGTGATGAAATGTGGGTACTGCAGTCCATGTTTCCAAACAAACAAGTCCTCTCTGAAGGATTCTCCTCCTCTTCCTGAGTTATCATGGCTTTTGCACGTTACAAATAAGATTCTTGATGATGAGTGAAGACGTGTCATACACAGTAAGTAGATAAGTAGAAAAAGACATTTCACTGTAATATCGAGTTGTTGGTAATCGACAAAGTAGCTTTAGATATTTTCAGAGCAGACTATTTGTTTCTAATTTATCGTTAGCATTGTTAGCTCAACGTTAGCCTATAGCTAACCCTATATTAGGGTAAAACAAAAAGATGCCATGGCTTCTTAAGGGTACAAGAAATAACTCATGAGGTGCAAATTTTACTGGCTTTGGTTCATGCTGCTTTTCGCCAACCGGTGTTACAGATGCTGGTGCAGCAGCGAACATCTTTTGCCGGTGCAGATTTGGCAACGCCACGAGCTCACAGAGTGAAAACAATGGCTACGTCCCTCTAACTGGCCTTCAGTCAACTGGCTAAGGAAATCTGTTTCAATGTAACCTTCATTCCAACTTGATTGAGATATTAGACTGTTTTGTGATATTTAACATACAGCGTCACACAGTTTCTTCTTATGTTGTTGGGAGAGATCAAACCTCATGCATCACCATTTTGGTTCATGTTTTGGAGTAGAAAAATGCTGAATGCAACATGCTAGTATTGTTTTAGTCGTAGTTGGCAATATTACATGAAAATATGCTGATTTCAAATTTTCATTTGTTTATATTACTGTAGTGCTAAAGTTTGTAAGCTAAATATTTAAATTTAAGTCAATTAAAACATGGAAACATGCAAAATAATTCAGACCATAACAAAAACTGAGTTGATGGGTTGTCTCAAAAAATGAACATTTTGTAATTATAGCTGCAACTCCTTAGCTGTTTCACTAATTCACTGACTGCTTGTGTTTTCGGACTAAATAACAGAGGTGTGACCAAGTCACTGCTTTGCAAGTCACAAGTAAGTCACAAGTCTTTCCAGTCAAGTCAAACCAAAGTCAATGAATTGGAAGTCCAAGTTAAGTGAGAGTCCTTAACTTTGAATTTTCAAGTCATAATCAAGTCATCTGTCCAACTTCAATTTAATGACGATGATAATAAATAAAGTCCAGAAATAAAGCGTCTTAAAGCTTAAATTATTTGCTCAAAAGAGTAGAAAGTGCAACTG